GGACACTGCCCATCTATCTCCCTCGGAGCCACTGGTGGAGGCCAGCCTTTGGGTTAACACTATGGCTCCCTACAGACTACACCACGAGGAAAACAACAATAACAAAACTGTATGACTCACTTTATTGAGAAATCTGCTTTGCTGCAGAGGCTTGGCAGTGAACAATACCTCTGAGATATGCCTAAATAAAGAAAGAACTGACTAGGTAAATAGGGGAGACAGGCAGGTACTTTGATTTTGTTTATTAATGCCAATTAATAAATACTGAAGGAATGATAGGAAATTACCAATTGGGAAACACTACTAAAATAAATGTTGTGGGAGTGATTGTTGACTAACGATGATAGCATGAAGAGAAACAGCATCCTTCGTAGCCTGGTATTAGCTGGTACCACACACAAGGAAAAAGAGTGATTTTTACAGTGGAGAAAGTTGGCAGACATTGTCTTAACAAAGAGACCAACAGGAACATCAGCAGTGAAACTGACAAGAGGCACTTAGAGCAGGGCATCACTGTTGTTCTATTGTTACCAAAAAATTTTATCCTCAAACTTATCATAAAAGAAAATCAGATAAACCCAAACAGAAAGGGGAAAAAACCCAACGACAAACCAAACAACAATAACAAAAAATGAAAGAAAAACAAAAACCAACAAACCTACACTGAGGGATAGCCTATAGATTAACTAGTGACTATAAATCTACTTGATGACAACAGGTTACTCTTCAAAAGTTCCAGCGTCAAAAAAGGTCAATGGAACAAACAACAAATGCTGGTGAGGTTGTGAAGAAACTGGAACCCTTATTCACTGTTGGTCAGAGTGTAAAATGGTGCAACCACTATGAACACTAATGAGAGAAGACCAGATGAGTTGTGGGAGGATGTCAAATGTATCATCCAGGAAGAGTGCAGTCATTACAAAGACAGAAGAGGAAGAAAAGACCAAAATGGATGTCTGAAGAAACTCTGAAGATTGCACTGGAGTGTAGAGAAGGCAAAGCACAAGGAAGAATTCAAGATACTAAAGAGTTGAACAGAAGATTCGAAAAGGCAGCATGGAATGATAAAGCAAAATATTACAATGAAATGTGCGAGGAGCTAGAGT